AAATAACATTGAGAGACGAAACAGATAATCATCCATTTAATTTCATTTTCATACCAAAATGGAACATTAGTGAAGGTGCCAAAAAAATTAATTTATATGCTCTTCCAACAAGTGCAATACTAATAGCTGGACAGCCGTACAAAGTTATGAATGCTATATTTCACTATGGTCCATGTATCGAAAACGATCATTTTATAAATATGTATAGAAGGTTCACCTTGGATTGAAGCTGATGATACGCAAGTTACAAAAAAGCAATGGCCTAGAGAGCTGCTAAAAACAATTCTACATTATTTTTAGGAAATGTTGATAATAGATAATATGTTCTAGTATTACGCACACGTGTGAAGAGATATAGTATTAATCATATAAGAATATAAGATGTTTAACACTACAAAATGCGTGATATCTTAACAAAATTATCTTTTTAAAAAAAGGTAAAAAAAAAGGCGCCAAGTGTGCATGTACCTTCCATAAAAAACTGTACTTTACATAAATTAAAAAAAAACCGTTACATAAATAACATAGTTCAAGTGGTAATGTTGTTAATTTTTTATTATAAATTACCCCTCAGTAATATGTATGCATGTATTAAAAAAGAAATGAAATCAAATCTTTAAACTACGCCAATTGCAAAACGAATATATAATTTCTTGCAACATATAACATATATTATTGTATTTTGTAAATTGCGAAAAGAACATATATTTTATTGCAACATATAACATTTAATTAACGAGACAAAATGATACGTACCTTTATCTTTCTCAATTAATATTAGGGTGTAACGGCCTATTACGGTTGGAGCTGGATCTTCGTTGCTTTAAATAATTCAATTTTGAATTACTAATATATACTGTATATGTACTTGCATATATACCATATTGTAGTCTTTTTCAAACTGCGCGCCGAATTTTTTCTGGACTAAATAAACGCAATTAAAACTACTCTAGTAATCGCGAATTAAATTGACAAACAATTTAATAATTTGATGCTACCATCAAGCATCATATATTATAAAGATGTTAATCTATAAAAACTATTAATAAATTTATTGCGAAAAATATTACCTTTATCTTTCTATTCAAGAGTCTTTTATATTTGCAATGTAATATAACATTTAATCTAAAAAAAATTAAAGACGAAGCATTACAAAATCAGAAAATTTTATTAAAATAAAATTTTTTATGTAAAAATACTTGGCGCGCTGCTAGACCTCAA